TAACTGTTGCAATTTGTATTGATTCAGCGAGGTCTCTGAAGCCCACACAGCTGCAAACATACATGTAAGCTGATCTACAAGTTTTGTTTAAATGTATTAAGTGTGTGATTTTTGTGTTTTAGGACTTGTTACATTGTGATGAATTTTCTTAAGAACACGGGTATGAAAACTATTTGACATCCCTTTTTGGTTAATTTTTATTGAAAAGTGCACTTCTTTAAACATGAAACAAATGTCCATGCTTTTCCAGACAACTGAGGACGCTGTAGCTGTGATGTCATTTCAGGAAGACACTGTTCAATTTAGGGATTTTCTGTTCAAATTGTGAACCAAAAATGTGCTCATTGAAAACATTTGTGAGAAAGGGTTGCTCATTGGCTTACTGCCATGTATTTACACAACAACGAATCACCAAAGAAAAGAAAGTTTATGACAGCAAAATATCCGAAATTCTAGCAACGTTTTGTGCTGAAGTATCTGTAACAGTGAGGTTTCTGCCTGGAATGATATCACAGTTTTGCTCATGAATATATATTAATTACCATAAAAGCCAAAAAGGCACCAAATATCCTTCAAACTGGCAAAACAAAATTGGGAATACGGGTACACAAAGGTGCTTTTTCAAAGATAGCATTTACACAAATTACATTGCATGGACCCTTTAAAGTCAATCTCTTTAGTTTGTTTAAACACTTTGTTTTTCATACTGAGGCAGCGTTACTTTCCTGGCTTTCCTGCACATAGCAAATGGAGGCTGTCAGACCCTGCAGCCAGCTTACATAATTCATTGTGGAAATGAACTGTTTTTTCTTTTGTGGTTCAAAAAATTCCAGGTGATTGTGCAAGTCTGGCAGTCTGTCTCCTGAGAAAGAAATCTGACTTTGTATTTTGCAAAAACAACAATTCTGGCAATAACTTGGACACCTGATACTCGTGGTTTTCTAATATTTCTATTCAGAGTTTTGCAACTGATCCCCACTTCAGTTTTCGTAATGTTCAATGTCTTTGATCTGTTTTGTATAAACAATTACTAATGGGCCATATTTTGGGGCATTGTGTTACTCCCAATAGGGTCAGGTTTGGTTCCTCTAGGGCCTGGCTGTGAACAAAGTACACCCTGTCAAATTGTGGTGGTTATGCTGATTGAATGAACCCAGATGTATCTCTGTGTGGCAACCCCAAGTCTCCCCCCCCCCTCTCAAAAAAAGAGGGAAAATGATAATATTACCTTGGTTTCACCTTATTTTCACAAAAGTTCAGTATTGTATCATACCTCAAGCATCTTTAACCTTTGACCATTTTATTGCAACTGTTCAAATTGTCCTTAGTTTCAGGTCTGTCCAAAATCATCCAAAATCCACATATTTACACTAAAACTGAAGCACCAGCCCCCCCTCCAGAAAGCATTAGTAGTAATATACTCAACAGAGACCAAAACTATTTAACTATGAATTGTTTGCACAAACTAAGGAAACTGAAAATAACCAAGCAGTGTTTATTGTCAATAAACTTTTATAGATTTTGTATAGATTTATATATTTTTGTGTAGCCAGAGGTGTTGGAATTGAAGGCTTTCGGGTCACAGTTTTTAGGTAAACTTTTTTAATTTCGGGCATATGCCTCTGGCTTTCATTTTTGTTTTCTTGTTTTTTGTTTCAATATTTTGTGAATGTTTGTTGTTTGTAGTGTTTTTAATGCCGACTAACTAATAATAAAAATAATAAACACAGAAACACACAGTCTCTTATGTTTACACAGCATATTGACACTGTCCAGATAGAAACATTATTTAGTGCCAGCAACTGAAAAAGCCTGTAAATGTTAACACCTCCTTTTGACCTGGTGACCTTACAATGTAGTCAAGGTACCACACATGATGTAGGCCCCAAGAGAAGTCACATCAATGTGTCAACTACATGACATCAGCTGGTCTCTAGACCCCAGACTATTCATTACCTTGGTAACCAGACTGCTGGTTACCATGGTGTCTTGTGTTTTACATTGACCAATAGTGGACTTTCATGCTATTTTCCCATTGCCTTAGGAATGTGATAATGACATTGTTAATTATTTCGTTAGAACCTTGACGTTTGTGCCATTGCAACATGTATATTATTTAGATGGATCCAGGGCTACCATTTTTGAGTAAAAGCTGAGTGTAAGAATTGGGCGATGGAGCTTGATCAGAACGAATGCGAGCATGAAGCGCGAAGCCCTGATGGCGTGGGGTTTAGGGCCTGCATATGGGACGTGGAAAGTTTTGGATTCTAGACGCTAGCTCTGTTGTGATCTGAGGCAATTTCTGACCACTTTAACCAATTTTTGTGTGTGCAAAAGATCATCATTTAAACGCCATTTTCGAGTTTGGAGTCAATCATGTATTAGCGTGAATAATCCCGTGTGGGCGTGAGGGCGTGAGAATAACTTGAAATGCATGAGTCTCCCGCACAATGCGTGAAAGTAGGCAGCCCGGTGGATCTCAACTTTTTCCCTCATCCAGTAAAATCTAAAACATGGAATGGCAATACACTCTCTCATAACCTGGCCATATACATGTACATCCGGGTATCGGACCTCAGTGTCGGTGTTGTTGGAGGCAAAGATCGTATAGCACCACAAGCAGTAGGTACCATAGTAGGCAAGCCTTCAAAGCTGTGATGGATGGCAAAAACTATTAGAATAACGCAAAGCTTAAAAAGAAATATTATCTACCGGTAGAAAGGGAGTTTATGAAGTAAACGTTCATTTAATACAGGTATCAAATCTTCCAGGATGTCTTTAAATTAAGTAATTAATAAAATCAAATCCGATACAGAAGCAACATCAGAAATACAAATTAAGTCATTGGAACTTGCACAATAAACTCTGTATAAGAAGAGAGATGATGGATATTTCAGCTATCTCTGTGAACATTTTCTGTGGGTCTTCCCTTTCAATGCTAGTAGAGTTATCCCAGGAATGTGGTCCATCCTGCCTCATCCACGCTCCTCATCTCCTTGTCAAGATGCTGAAGATGACATTTTCTAGGGATGACGTTGGTTGACCATATGACTCCAAGAATCTTGGATAGTTTAGGCCCAGTGATGTTTGTACACAGTCTGAAGCTTGCAGGGATTGTCTTCAGCCAATTGTTTCTTAGAACTCCAAGTGAACGTGTTTCTAGATGTGATAGATTTTATCTCAAGGAAAGTTTTATTTTCTCTCTTCACTCTCAAGATGGCATTTACAAACCAGGCTTAAGATTTTTCTGAGTTTCGTCTGAATCAGACCTTTTGAATCTGAGATAAAGATAGAAGTATAGAAAGAAATGCATCCGTCCGACCCTTTGTCCAATTTCAAACCTTTCTGAACATAGACAATTTCATCCCTAATATACTGAAAATGGTTTGGTTAAAAGTTACAAGATGTTTAAATTGATGGTAATTTAAGAAATGTAAAACTACAGTTAAAAAGCTCTTGATCCTTGCGAAAGAACGCTTATTGAATAAACTAGAATGTATGTACCTCAGCATACATACCTCAGTCTTCTGGTTTCCATAAACAATTCTTGCAGGGATGAAAATGATTGTTCAGAATTTCTCAAAATCAAAGAAGGCAGTAAAGGTAAAGGGGGACGGACAAGAACGCTTATTGAATAAACTAGAATGCATGTACCTCAGCATACCTCAGTCTTCTGGTTTCCATAAACAATTCTTGCAGGGATGAAAATGATTGTTCAGAATTTCTCAAAATCAAAGAAGGCAGTAAAGGTAAAGGGGGACGGACCTGTGTTCACAGGAACGAGTGCCCATCTCTCTTTCGAAGTGATTGGGCCAGACTCGAGTCCATGAAATGCTGCTGTGGGGGGATCGCCACACCTCCTCCACAGCGAGTCTGTTACAAGAAAATGTGCAATGGATTCCTTGCTCATCTAATCAGTAGATTTGATTGCTACATATCAGTCCACAGAAGATTATCATTCCGTGTTCGGTGGCTTCCTGACATTCCAGAAATAGATGTATTTCTCATGTCAACTTGAACTTGTACTATTTGCTTCACTAACCTGTAGTGAGTAGTTCTGTGGTCAGACAGTATTATCCATTTTCACAAAATTAGTTGAATGGTCTAAAACGGCTCGTTGATTTTAACAAAACTGTAATGAAATTATATAGAGTAAGAATTTAATAACTTAATCCTAAGTGCTGAGTATTAACAGCTGCCAATTGCTTTACAAAGCTCATTACTCACAACTAAACACCACAGATAGATCATTGTTTCTTACTTCTGTGTGTCTTCATTGTAGTAAATCACAAATTAGTAGGAAAATAGTATTTTAATGAGAAGTTACTACAGTGAACATTCTTGTATGAAAGGCTGTATTCTAAAATATGCCGGAAAAGGGCAAAACCTAATAGTGAATTTAGCATTACTTAGAAAAACACCAAATATCGGGTTATCCGCTCCGTTCACAAGTACCCCCTCACCGGCAAAGTAAGTACAGTTGGGGGTGACTGAACAATGCCATCTTGCCTGACTGCAATATTTTGACCTGAAGCGCGGCCACTGCGTGTACATAGTACAAATCCCCTGGTGTCCGTGCGTCTCACAAGGAATGGTGCGCACGCGTCAACCAGCAAAATGTATGTGTCCCGCCCATAGGACGTTGTTGCTAGGTAAAAGGGCGCCCTCTTTTGTAGGCGCACAGAGCCCTTAAATGCACTCAGCACTCATATTGAACGTAAATTTTGCAGTCTGTGCCAACAGTTATCTGATTGTAATATTGCCAAGTTGTTAATGTTTACATTCATATCTTTACGTCTTTGTCTTTCAGACAATCCATTGTTGACAGTAGGAATGAATCACTCTGTTTGGATGTACACCGTACATTACATGTATTTTAGTTTGTGTTGTCTATAAAGCCACATTCAAGATGAAAACATAATCCAAAATCACATACATGTGACTTTCACTTTTATTTTTTGTCACATTGTCATTTTCTTGGTTTTGTTTGTTGTTTGCAGTCCTCATCCAAATCGCAATCGGGCTTTGGAACGTCGAGTCGCTCTGAACCAAGGATTGGAGACCACACCGGCCTGAAGACAGTGACTGACAAGACTGAACAGCCAAGGAAGAAATCACCAACTGAGAGGAAAGAAGAAGGGAAGGTCAAGATGCCGCCAGTGGATGATGTTGAGGATGAAGAAGCCTTGGAGAAGATGGTAAGAATGTGTTGGATAATTTGTGGCTGAATTAAACAGTTTTCTTTGATGTATAGATGTAGAATAAAGTTGGATTCTATCTTCATACTGGTACATGTACATGTAGGACTCCAATATTAAATAATACTGCTGCAAACTGCTTACTGACTGGATTGACCTGAAATATTTTTATATAAATCAGAAAAGTTAGAGGACTAACGTTGTGATTCTAGCAAAAAAGAAGTAAAACTGGTAAGACAAAAGTGTGTTTTTGGAGGCAACTTCAAGTAGAATGAAAAGCTTTTTAGAGAGCAAAGTAACTCCTGGTTCATTCTTCAAACACAACTGTGAGTAAAATTTGTACACATGTACTTGTAACAGCAGTGGCAAATTTGCAAACCTCACAATTTTCTTTCACTGTATAAAACTAAACTTAGAGGTGCCGGTACATGTAAACAGCTAAAACTTGTCCACATTTCAGATAATTGCTATATTCAAGATAAACAATCATATTCTTTTCTACAGAGAGCTCAGTGCTATATCTCAATGATTAAACATGGAAGCAAGTTCAACATGACACAAGTGAAAAGTTGACTATTTTTGGAAGTTGGAGGAGTTTTGTAATATGGATGTCGGTAAAAAAAATTTTTTAAAACCCCAAAAGCTATTGCAAATTGCTTACTGACAGGAATGGCCTTAACCCTATAACCCCCTAGGACCTTATTGCTAGGAACCATCCTCAATCCTCCATACCACTCCAAAATTGTGTACTCATGTTTAAGTGAAGGATACCAGCGACTCAATCCTTCAATCGTCAGACAGTCCTGCCTCTAAAAATGCATTCATCCTCAATCCTTCAAACTCCTCCTCTTCTTCAAACACCAGTCATCCTCAATCCTCCAAAACTCTCATGTTTTTCAAACACCATTCATCCTCAATCCTCCAAAATCCTCCCAAACCGCAATGATGTTTTTGCAGGATTGAGGTGGTTTAGGGTTAAATACAAATCTTTATGGGCTTTTAATGGGCCTGTTGTTTCCACTTTAACATAAAGAGTTCAGTGGAACATGAGAAATCTAACGTTGTTGCAGACAGACTACTTTCTGCAGATTGGATACAAGTGTCATACAATGTTTCTGTTCATCCAGTAATATTGCACTTTTTACATGTGATTGCCACACTCAACCCTGCTTTATACATGTATGTACTGTGCTGATCATGTAGACAATAGAATTAGACATTTTATAACTGAAATATTGATGAGCATATTTTAAGCAATCAAGTTTATAGACACAAGGCCATTTTTCAGACCAGTCTGTGATTTTTGATGAAGTATGACAGAGACAGACTATCCACCCAACCGAGAGATGATGGCAAATGTTGGCCGCGTCCCTCGCTCTGAAATTGACGCAGATCAAGGGACGTTAGTCTGATCTTGGCAGAGGGCCTGTGGGGAGTGGAATGTTTGCTGTAATTACCAGCACGTGACAGGTGTGATGGGATCAGCAAGATATCAACTCTGTCTCAAAGCGAGATATTAGACAAATTTCCGTTAGGATAGCTCACACTGTTGGGCTTGGAAAATGGGTAGATTTCACTGACTGAAATTAAAAAAATTAAATCAACAATGTTAATTTAACATAAATATTAAAAGTGTAGGGAAAGTTGTCATTGGAACATTTTAGTTGCTTGAGTGCATTGTGTTTCACTTAATTATCATTATGTGTGTATTTTTAACCTGAATTTCTTGTGAATTCTGAAGTGAAAAGTGTGATAAAATGTTTTATTTTATATTATTTTTGGCAGTTTTACACTTTTAAAATGTTTTGTTTTCTGAAAATATGACATTAACATTTATTCACAAATTAACTGGTTGTTTTACAGTTGGAGGCAGCCTCAGAATTTGAGGAGCGAAAAAAAATCAGAGCAAAACTAAGAGAAATCCGCAAGAAAAGGAGAGGTAGGGAGATGTTGGTTTCATTAAATTGATACATATTGTCATGGTTAAATAGAGAAAGCTCTTTCATACGTCAAATGAATTTCAGTGCAACATGAAGTTGTGAGGGTAATGGCCCAAGTCCTGGGCTCAATTTTCTGCTAAAAACCTCTGTCTATTTCATGGAGACCATAAGCAGTAAGCACAGCAAAAGGCACGCTTGCCACAAAAGGAAAAAGTTGCTGAAACTAGTGATGTAACAATAGAAATCTCCTTGGGCGAACAACCTTAATTAGTACATCTACCCCATGAAATAGTGCTGAAGGTTTGCACAATTGTTAGCACAACTTTTCTGCTAACTGTTAAGCAATACCATGAAATTGGCCCCAGATCAGTATCGTGGGTTATGGATGATAGTCCTTTGGTATTTATTGCTGTGACTCAGTCCAGAGTTATCCAGCCTGCTGTGCCTGCCTAACCCTCAATTAGTCTTCATCAAACGTCTTCATCTCATGATATCAGGTCCCTGGGATTCTGAACATGCAAAGACGTCATAGTGTTGACTTTGAAACTCATTTTCCCCCATTGTCTCTTAGTCAAAGGTTTCATTCTGGTCAGAATTGATGAAGAAATTTTGCCTTCTTTCATTTCAAGATGGCAGATAAATTACACTTGACGATAAAATTGAGCTACTACATAATTGCTTGTGAAAATGAGATGATTAGTAGAAATTACCAGTTTTTATGAATTACAAAACAACAATTGATGGTTTGTGTATGTAATGAAAGAAAGTCACTCTCATATTTCAAAGGCATTTCACAGGTAAACAATGAATTTTTGCTTGAACAGTTGATGTACATGAGCGTACTTCTCAAATCTAAGGATTCCTTACAAAGTTAGTGCAGAAATTCAGTCCTTACCCTGAAAACGGAACCCAATACCATGACTGTGCTAACCACACGATCACTAATCTCTGCTAACAGCGCTATCGGTAGGGCAACAAATCCTGCATCCTGTGAGTATAGGAGTCTGTGCTAACCCTGTAAGCACAGACTCCTTACTTACAGGATGCTTGCATGCCCAAAAACCAAAATTCCTATGAAACACACTTAACCGTTTGCTTGGAGTTTTACTGCTACAGTTGGCGAGGATTTTTCACTAAAGCTGGCAGAGCCATGATATTGGGCACAGGTTATGGACTTCTGTGCACAAATACCCCCTCAAGAGTTACAAAGAGAGAGTTGAGAGAGAAAACTGGGAGGGACATTCAAACGTATTGCCAATGACGCCTGAATGCTCAAGCAAAGACGCTACACATTGGTGCACATTCAGAGTAGAAGCAGTCATGCATACTTCACGCTGTATATACAGTGTATGTGATCCAGTATGGGCACACAGAGTGTCCCTCCCACTGGAGTATTTGAAAGTGGTCAAACACTGCCCTCTGCTGCTCATGGCCAGAGTCCATTGTGATCGTGTGCACAGAATGCTGTGGTAAGAGGCACTTTAAAATTGTGCCCTTATTAACCAAATCACCAATTTCTTTTGGTACCAATCACAGAGGAACAAGACAAGCAGATAGCAGCCCAGGAGAAGGGAATTCTAGAAGACCGCTTGGCTTACAGAGAGGACTCAAAAGCTCACCGCCTTAAAGCCTTTGACAAGACCACACCCATCAAGAAGGAAACCACAACAACGGTCGCCAAAACTCCCCTCAACAACAACACAATCATCGCTCCGCCAAGCAGCACGCCGGTGAAAACGTCAACGAAGGTGGAGGATACAGATGGTAAGAGTTCGACAACAAAGACAACAACGGTCATTGAGGGACCTGGAGCCAAGATGGTTACCACGACAATACACAGCAAATCCGAAGGTGATTCAACCTGAACCCTGATTAGAGAACAATTTACATTTTTAAAGACAGAACCATTCTTTCCAACTTTTTACCTGCATGTTTTAGGTGCAGTCTTGTTGGGTCAAAACTATATCTGCCAGTTAAGTCTTCAAAACTCTGAGGCCAGATTTTTGAGCTTTAAAAAATGACTCCTGTATAATATGCATTCTTCAGTTTTGCTTGATTGTTCTGTGTACTTTGGTTAAAGGTAATATACAACATTTGCAAACATCAAAAAACAAAACTACCAAATTATTATGAAATACCTTATTTGACTGTAGCTAAATAATACTCTCAAACATCTTGTGAAATCATGGCACCTTGTGTGCTGTCATTTTCAAGAAAAGTGGAATTCTTCAATTTCCAACAATGGTCAGCTGACCACTGTGGAAAGAAGTGACCTTTTTTTTCTTCAAATACTGCCACCGATTTACCAAATTTAGTTAGTCCATATTTGTTTGCAATCTGTCACACATCTGTGAACAGGTGCAAGCCTGCTGGTCTGGTTCCCTGACCTGACAGTTCCCCAGCGTCTATAAATTGCTCCATTTCATCTGAAGTAGGGTCAGGGAAGCAGACTACATGAACAGCATTTTTTTCCCAGCATCTTTGAACACAAAACTTTAAACAGGCAAGTGTAACAATATTTGCTATAAAATACCAACCCCCAAATCCATCCATTTCTGAAACTTACAGGGACAGTTACTTTTTATATTACCTTTAATTTTGGATAAAATATATCATGTTCTAACTTTTAAGCTACAAATTGGCAGCACATGCTGCAAGTCAGTTATTTTTTGATATATTGTGAGTAACGTATTTACAGTTAATAAGCTTGAAGCCCAGTTGTAAAAATCTTCTTTTTTTTTCATCTATGTTTTCTTGACAGACAAAGGCACAAAATCAGAAAGTATGAAGCAGGATACGACAGCAGTGAAAAAGGAAGGTAAGTCCCTGAACAGATAACCATTTCTGATAAAAGAACCTCGTAAAATTAATGAGAAACTACGTACAGAGATTATTCCATTGCATAGTGGTGGATAAGGCAGAATTCTGCGACTTCATTGCAAGACACCAGTGCAACATTTCTGACGTTGGAATAAACATATTACAACCTGCTTTTCCCCTAATTCTAGACTTCAATTGTCTGTACACAGAGACAGGTACCAGTAGTAGTTTTTCAGCCAAGACTTCCAGTGTTAGTTCCAGTGTAACATCTTCATCCAGCACTGGTACCCCTGCCAGAAAAAGTAAGTTGTCAATTGTCATAATTCACTGGTACCCAACATTCACATAGCAGTGATCACCGACCACTGGTTAATTTGAGCCGCTTTTCCGTATGCATATTTTCAATCTGTTTTTGTGTCCCTTGTGTAGTTGGGTATAAAGTTCAAAATTGGTTTAAATACAGACATAAATTGACTAAATGTGCTCACAGGAAAAGCAGCTTTAATGGTTGATTTTTGACGTATTTTGTTTCTTAACACAAATATTGAGAATGGTTGTAGTCAAAGTGCAGTCAAATATCATCATGAAAGCTCATGATCCTGGCTCCCTGCTGTACATGTACATTACAATATTACAGGTACTAACAACCAGTAATGCGACTGTCTGTGGTCTGGTTCCAAACTAGGTCCAACCGTCAATTACTGGAGTTTTAGGGGAAAGCTAGTCAAAATATGTTTTACCACAATTTGTTATACATACATGTACAACTTGCCGCAATACAAGAACGGATCCAGAACACAAGTGGGTCAAAAAATTACGGCGAGGGGTTTGGGGCCCGCTTAAGGGCCTCAAAAAATTCTGGATTCTAGATGCTCTGTGGTGCGATCTGAGTCAATTTCTGACCACTTTAACCAATCTTTTTTTAGGAAAAGATGGTGGTGTACGCAGTGCGTGCCTTTATTGCAATGTCAATTTTTAAAAAAAAATTGGTTTCCGGGGGGGGGGGGGGGGGGCATTGCCCCCGTTGTCCCCCCTGGATCTGCCCTTGCCGCAGTATACAGAGTGATTGTATCATGCCCTCATGTACGTGTAAGTGCCTTGCTGTAAATAAGAAGTAAACATGGATTTACTGATGTTTTTCCACCTCAGTGAGCAAATTTGAGGCAGAAATGGAGGAGAAGAAGAAACTACGAGAACTGAAGAGAGCAGAAGAAGAGAAGAACTGGAAGGAATACATGGCCAAAAAGTATGTGTTTTTTTCCATCATAAATTTTGTAGTTAATATTTTACCAATTGAATATCTTAATAACCAACCAAAAATTTTTTTTGGGGGGGGGGGGAATCGGAGAAGGGAATATTTTGGGAAACAAAGCCATCATGAGGAATTGCATCAATGACCTATGCTGGGCTGTTGTGTCCAGGAGGTGTACGCTGTAATGTTTGGTTTGCGTTTGGTATATTTATGAATTTTCTGTAGATTGGTCAATGAAGGCAAAACACTACATGTATATTAAAAGTTGCATCAGAAAGGTATCAAGTGAATTAAAAAGTGTGTTGACAGTATTGGTGCCTTGGAATTTTGTTGAGAATGTAAACGCTAATTCCTGTACAGGAAGCAAGATGACTACGAACGCAAGAAGAAAGAGATGGAGGCAGCCAAGAAGAAGAAAGATGCACTGATGAACAAGTTTGGAGGCAAGGCACAGGAGGGGGAAAGCGGTGGCTTCGGTAGAGGGACTGGGATGCAGGCAGTACCCAACGCTAGCACCATCAAACAGAAGCTGTTGGAGTGGTGTCAACGATGTGCTCGCGGTTATCCGGTAATGAACCAATTACAATGAAACAATAGCTGGATGTCATGTGAAGAAGTACATGTAGGCCTTAGATAAAGCAATGCTCAAGAATATGTATTGCTCTGATTTCCAAACTTTAGAAGATGGAAAATTACCTTCAAGGGCTTATTGTAAAGAATAAATCCAGACACTAACATGTGCTTATTGTGTGGTTGGAGATTACAAGAACTCATTTGGCTGTGATAAAAAAGAATCATGGATTGAATCACAGGGAAACTTGATGCAGTACCCTTCCTGAATCCAACGAAATCCAACACCGTGCAATAAACCTATGGTACATTCTTTGTAAGAAAAATAAACCTTGGATATCAGGCACCCTGTAAAGTAATAATGGCGTGATCCTGTCAAAAAATACTGCACAAACCAGCATTTGATTTTGGAGGTTAACTTGTTTAATTGTTACAAAAATAGATGATGATGGGTGTGATTGTGTAGATTCCAGGTTTGAATCCAATAATTAATAGTTACCATTTATCACCCTGTTTGTGTTTGTTTGTTTGTTTGTTGTTGGCAGGAGGTACAGATCACCAACTTTTCCTCCAGCTGGGCGGATGGCATGGCGTTCTGTGCAATTGTCCACTACCATTTCCCAAACGCGTTTGACTTTGATTCTCTGGATAAGAAGAACAGGAGGAAGAACTTTGACCTCGCATTTGATTCAGCTGAGTGAGTCTTGTTTTCTTATGAAAATAAATATGTATCTGAAAGGGATGTCCATGTCTTTTGTGAGCATGTTCCCAAGAAGTTGTAATTGTGGAAAACCTAGAGATGTTTTAAAAGATGGAATTTGTGTCGGGGAAATGTAAATTTCATATCAGGGTTTTGCCCTTCACCAATGTATTTTTTATATACACTGTATAGTCTGTGTTGTCTAAGGGCTTATAAGAAAAGAACAATTTACATCTCTCCGACGCAAATTCCATCTTCTAAAATGTTTGGTTGCGGTACCACTGCCATATCAGGCTCAAGCTGACCAGCTGACCACACCAGCAAGCTTGGTGGTCGAGTGATAAGATGTCTGCACTCACTAGTAAGCAGGAGGTCATAGGTTCGAGTTCCACCTGATGAGTAAGCTTGTGAAGTTTTTCTCGCAAGGCCTCGGACAACACTGAGTATACAGTGTTTATAAAAAAAATATGTCGGGGAAGAGCAAAACGTAATATAAAAACCTAGAGAGTAGCTCTAGAAATGAGATTCAAACACGGCCTAAATGTGTAAATGTGGAGAATGCATACATGTTTGAACAGCGCCCCCTGGAGTCAAATGGAAACCAGCCCCCCCCCTTCAATTCCCAAGCTGCTGGTACCCCGTGTTGACAAGAAATGGCTGATTCTGTACTCGGCCTTTTTGTTTTGATATTATGTAGTTTAACGTTCCTATCGTTTTCACTGTGCACTATTTGTTTAAGGACCTGTTACTCAACAATTATTTCTGATTACTGGAAATGGGTCATTTGGGAGACATTCCCATGGACTTGTGCGCAAAATTTTTCCATCTTTAATGTCACCTAACCCCAATTTTACCTTATCATACTCCCACGAATTTCAGTTTATTTATGTTTTGGACCAATCGATCTAGCCTATTTGCGACTGTAACATTTTGTCTCTCAATATAAGAGCTGTGTCTCCCTAAGGTATAACTATTGATGACAAAATGTCTCCCAGAGGTACCATTAACTGGTACTCTGGGGACTTGAGACTTATCTGGTGCTGTTAGGTCACGTGTTACTCATCAGTATCAGCAGGGACCCAGTCACAAGGAGTGCACCTCAAGTGACTGTTAGCCGGTAACCAGTTTTGATTACATCAAATATTTATCTTGTTTATACACTCAGGAAGCACGCCGATATCATGCCGCTGTTGGAAACTGACGACATGATCATGATGAAGAACAAACCAGATTGGAAGTGCGTCTTCACGTATGTTCAGAGCCTGTATCGTCATCTCATTAAAATCAAACCATAAAAGTCTCCAACAGAAAGTCATGAAAGAACAAAATATGCAAAACGGTCGCCATTATCAAGACGTACAAACTTCAATTTGTGTGTAGCATTATTTGTGTGATCCCATTCTACCTGATCCAGAATTTTTCTGTAAATATATTTAAGAAGTGTGAAGGTGGCTTTAAATAGTTGTAATACAGAAATTAATATCGATGAAAAGATAGAGTTTTAGCTCTTGTAACATTTCAGCTTATTCTCCAGCTTTCTAGTGAAGCAAATGCTGTACACAGTAAAAGTAATCATTTTATACCAAAAATAAAACCAAACAAAAACAAAAACCAATACAGTAAATAAAATTGCTACTTAGAATGCCATTTTTATCGAATACAAGCAATAATGTCGGCCCTAGATCACCATTCATATTTTGGCACATAGTTGTTTTTTTACTGTGGTTATCAGTTTCTAAGATTCAGAGAACAACATCGTACCTTCATTAGCTATAAAGTTTTTTTTATTGTTAGGTTAAATACATATTTCCAACAACAAACTTTTCTTTAAGAGTCTAATGAAACACACTTCATCAGTCCATCTGTACCACTTCCTAAAAGTGAAACTTTTAATTATTAAAAACAAAATGTGCTAAAATGGGGCCTCCAAGGGGCTGATAAAACAGTATTTTTATCATCATTTTAGTCGGACATGTAGCTCTTTATTTTTAAAATAAGAATTTACAGTTGTGTGAAACAAAAGTAACATTTTCGAACACAATTTGTGGCTGGCATTTAGTAAACTTAATAGGGCACAGTACTGACATTAATATAAGTACTTCACATCTTTTAGTTACCTGGTGAAGTCTTTGAAATGTTAACGTTTCAGTCGTGATTCACAGGTTTTCTTTAGGCAAAAAATTAATTCTCATTCATGGACTTGGCAAGACTTGTGACTCACTGAAAAGTTGAAGTCATCTGAAGACTCAGTTAGGAAGACTTGAATGGTTTGAGAAAATTAATTACAGAAATTTGATCATAGTACTAAACCAGAAGTACTCGGAGAGCAGATGTGTGATATTATCGTAAATGAAGTTTATGAAATTCATCTGTTTTTTGTACAGTCCATACCTGTTAGTGATGCACTGTAAATTTCTTCGAAGGCACGTATGTCAAATAAGAAGAATGTCAGTTTTGATTTTGTTGCCTCGACTGTATGTCCTGAAATGTTGACACAGGGGTAGATGTCTCTTATGTATGATATTACCTGCTTAGATCGACAGGGTTCAGAAATGGCAAATGAACTACTTACTCATTGAGTACACAAAAAATGAATAAGCATGAATGAATAATGAATGAATAAGCACGTACTTAAAGATTGAGGGTATAGATATATTGTAGATATCTTACAGAAGTGTAAATAGGACATGAGCTTTATTTATCTTATGTTACCTGATTTTTTTAAATGAATTTCGTCCTTTAACTGCCCACCCTATTGCATGTTATGTAAATATTAATATGGAAATGAAAATGAATAATTTATTTATCGCAGCAAATTTGATGCAGATTTTGTGTGGGCGTGTGCGTAATTTATGCATTTATGCAGAATGTAATATCTGGTCATAGTGGTTAAGACATAGATCACACGTCAGGTTAAATCAGACTAAGGAAATGCTAATACAAAGAAACAGAAAACTTCTCAAGATGTGATTAACATTCTGTTGGACAAAATATTCAGTAAGGCTTTACTCAATTTTTGTATCTCTTAGGAGTTCAGAAAATGAAAGATCAATTAACAGCTTAGCACATGTCAAATTCTCTTTATGTCTGCCGTCGGATTTGTTTGTGACCAGTTATCACTGCTGAGATTGAAAAGAAAACTAGAATGATATGAACATTTTTGCATGCAGTAAGTATATATTTCAGAACAGAATTACAGATTATTTGTGTGTGCTTTCTTGAGAACAAAAAGGCCAGGTTTTTGATAAAAACTGCTGTAAAATGTATAAATTAAGTAACTGCTTGGCATGTTTTGATAAAGTTTTAAAAATTAACATTAACATCTCGTAACAGGTTACAATACTTTGAATACAATAGTACCTTAACTAATTTTAAGATGTCTACAACAATTAGTACATGTATATTGTGTGTGAAGGAGTAGATAAGTATTAATACATATTCAGGATTTAACAAATCATGGTCATTTATTTACATACACATCACATGCGGTAATTTCGTAGCTTGCATGCCACAGGGCTTGCCAAAGTACAACTTTGATTCTTACAACAATAATCAGCATCAACACTTCCAAGTTCAAATAACACAACCTATCTCGGAGTTTCTTGAGAACCTTTCACTGTATCATAGACTTGATTTGAAATAACTTGCTGTAAGTGCTACAACAGGGCATGTACATTAGGTTGATAAAACAGTAATCCAAAGTCTACATCTCAACATACCATCTTTTTAGAACCATTTTTGCATCATGTAATTTAGGAATCACACTCAGTCTGCAATGTTAAACTGTTCGAACCTTTAAAAGTCATTAATACCTGATGTATGTTCCCAAATGCAGTACCATTGGATGGTTTTCACAATGTGCATAAATTAAGATATTGATGATGAGTATAAGGGCTCTAGCTTGGAAATGTTACAAAGTTATATCGAAATGGGTTGCTATCGATTCTAATTTGTCCCTCTTAAAGGAAATGTAAACTTCTTAATAGATATTTTTGGTGAGAATGCACAATATTTTCTTTACTTTTTTTTTTTGGGGGGGGGGAGAAATTATGTTTTACTCGCCCCTTTTCACACTGAAGTGATCTTTTTAGACCTGACTTTACCTAATAAATGATCAAATTGAAGGATAACACATTGAAACTGAAGGTTCACACTGACTAGGAATCAGTACAACAGTTTAGCTCAGTAATGTCACAAGACGAGCCTACCATTGCTTGTTCAATGTATTTATTGAGTTATTTGAAGCCATTGTATGTAACGAGAATATCTAGAAGCCCTAAAAAATTCAGCCAAATTGTACTCTATTTATTTAGAAAATGTTCTCCAAGTTTCTCTGTTCATGGCATACGTAATTTGTTCATTCAATACTTGAAAAGTTTTACAGCCTTTTTACGAAGCAACAGAAAACGGCCTAATTTCTCACAAGTACTTATTGAAATATTATGGCACGCCCATTATGCAAATCCCATCTATTCAGTCAAAACTGTTGTGTAATTATGTATGTTTATTAAATAGTGTTTATTATATATTTACTATGATGTGATTGTAGATTTATAGTTTCTTAATATAGATGTATGTGACGCATTTTAGTGCAATTTTAACGTACTTGTAGTGTGTGTTTTGCTGTAGATCTGTATACTTCATTGAACTATTTTGTTGTAACTTTTCTGTTCTGTTTTCAGTGTAGTGCAATACGTTTTATTGGAAAACTTGCCATAAAGAATGAATAAAGTAATTATGTAGCAAATTAGGAATAACTGTGCGGTGTATTATTGCGTTGAAGTAATTCAATTATATCCTGTGAATATGGGGGTAATGTTACAATCGACCTCACCAGAAAGTACACCCTTATAGCAAGGGTGAATCCAGAACAAACTGGGTTTTTTTTGGGGGGGGGGCAAGAAGTGTCGATTTATTTTTTTTTTCAAAAAGGGTGTATAGTATTGTGCACTATTTCTGCATTGTAATATTCAAGTTAAAAGGTATGTGTAGCTCATGGCTTACGAGGGAGATAGGCAACGTTTTAATTTAATTCCTGAAAATTCAAGACAAAAAGATGTCTTCACTACTAGTAAAAAAAAATACTTGGGGGTCATGGCCCTGTTGCCCCCCCCCCCCCTCCCGTATTTGCCAATGCCTTTATATCAGTTATTAGTAGATAAGGTGGTTATTAGTAGATAAGGTGGTTATACCAGGGTAAAAGGGTACTTCGATGCCTGTTCCTTGTAGTAAGAATTTTACTTGCGACCAATCACAGCACTCTGGGTTTCTTACACTTGGTCCAACCAATCAGAGTGCAGATATGCAAATACTCGAGTGGCTGCTGAGGAAAAACAATCATCGCACGTTGTCGTATGAGGGCGCTCGGTCGATGACACTGAAGAAAAAATGTGGTTGACGGCTGTACTGCTGCTGTTACTGCTGCGCTATAGTGGCAGTGCTAGAACGGGTTGAAATCGACGAATTTCATTGTCGCGATCGCTTCAGAAAGATCTGATAAGCTGCCACCGTGTATATAGTTAAGACTATACCAGAGAGATTCGTTATTATGGGTAAGAGTTTGCTGTATTCTTTTTTAATTGACACATGAATGATCACCATCTCCATCATTCGATGGCGAAACTGTGACCGGCTGACCAGGTGAGTGTAGGGCCTATGTCTGTATGTGCATGGAGGAATTTTTATTCCTCCATGGTATGTGTAAGCGTGTAGGCCCTAGTCCGAGTAACTTGGACCCAACTTATCGCCGTTTTAACATTTGGACATGGTCTGGCGATAGTAGGGTCCAAGCTTATCCTTATATGTCGAGCAACACAATTCTGTCATTGACCCCAAAACCCAACATTGCCCAACAAAAACATTAGATTGCAGTTTTCACCCTCAAAACGGCAATTTACACATGATTTATCATCCGTTTAAGACGGGCCACGTGACGGGCTCTCGACCGATTGGAATGCGTAAACGGTCTCAGGTATTTATGAATAGGTTTAATTAACTGCTTATTGCTTAGTACTTTTTTTTAATGAGTTGATAATTGGGAGGAACTATAGAATGCAGGGCCACGCCGGAGCAAGTTTTTTTTTTTCTGCTTGGAGGCGTGGATCGAGGCCGGCGATGTGAGGATAGGAGTAATACTAGGGCCTACATGTACTAATAGGCTACAATATAATAATATGCAAACCTGCAAAAAGTGCTAAGTACAGCGAATGCACTTGTCTTCTCATCAAGGATTAAAAGGGAGGGCGCGCTTGTAAATGTGTCGGGCCACGGATCGCGGAGACGCGCGCCGATAGAGGACGCAATTCTCAGCAGTATTTTTTTGAGAACGAAGCATCCATATCCATTTTTAATTTCCTCGCAAAGAAAGGAAGGGAGGGCGATGGGGCACTGGAGTCGCGGGGTTGCGGAGTCGCAGAGACGCGCGCCGATAGAGGGCGCAATTCTCGGCGGTAGGTCGACTGCGGCTCCACGCAGCCGTATGGAGGCGCGGATGTAGAGTGAAGTGGCCCTGCATTCTATAGTTGTACCGACAGGGAGCCAGAGTCGCAGAGACGCGCGCCGATAGGGGGCGCAATTCTCGGCGGTATTTTTTTGAGAACGAAGCAACCATATCCATTTTTAATTTCCTCGCAAAGGAAGGGAGGGCGACGGGGCACTGGAGGCGCGGAGTCGCAGAGACGCGCGCAGATAGAGGGCGCAATTCTGAGAGGTAGGTCGACTGCGGCTCCACGCCTCCACGCAGCCGTACGGAGGCGAGGATGTAGAGTGAAGTGGCCCTGCATTCTATAGTTGTACCGATTATCATATTCATTGCTTTTACTTAAAAACTTGAAATTCAACGACGATTTTTTGTGCATCAAATATGCTCGGATCGTATGGGCGAACTTTTTGCTGCCTTGTGTACTATTTTGAATCTGAAGACGTTACCAAGATTTTTCAAAACTCGGTCTTCATTCGGCTCCGCCAGCTAACAGTGCTATTTGGGTGCCTAATTTTGAAGATTCCAGATCAGCAAAAGTCAATGTTATCTTACAGAAATATCAAACTGTATCACAACTGTATGATAATGTGGCGGAGTGGCCGCTGGCGGCGCTGTGCAGTGACCTAGTTTTTCGGCAGCTATTTTGGGGGTCGCGTGATGCACAGCGCGCGCGTGATGACTGCATGATCAGCTCCTGTACAGATGTGCCAAGCGGGCTTATTTCGCGCGGTTTACGGCAGTTCACGTCTGGCGGTCTTACAGGAAGGATCTGTATGCGATAGACAGTGCTCTAGAATAAGAATCATTAGAATTGTCAGGTTAGTACAAAACCTAGTGATTTGTGTAAGTTCAAGAGTGAGAATAAACCAATCATCAAAATCAAGAAGAACATTTCATCGTCTATTTATTGTGTGGAATAACTAAACAGAAGTTGACGTTCCCCAGAAACCCTTACCGCTCGAGACTTACGTTACATTGGTGGCTAGCGTCGGGATATTTTCTGTTGTATTTTTGCTGTTGACGATTTGTTTGTCAGATTGGTTTTTCAAGCCTTCCGCAGTGGTGTAAACCGAGCCGATATACAGTTTCCAGAGATTTTGTCAGTCTTGTGTCAGTGGTGTAGACCGAGGCACTTGGACTGAAAGCCGCCCGGAGACGAACAGATAGCCGCCCGGAGAGGAACAGATAGCCGCCGGGGAAAGCTGCTCGGAAAGACCCACGTAACCAGAGCCCGCCGGAGACGCCCGGACACTTATTGAAAAGACCGGAACCGGCCGGAGACGTGTTAAAAGCCGCCCGGAAAGACCGTACGGAAGACGTATACAGAACGTATACAGACTGTCTGTATAGAGTTCAGCCGGCCGGAGAATTATTTTAGTATTAGGCCTAGGCTAGTGTATTTTGTTCACTTACCTTAGGTAGGATGGCGTCCCCGCAGTCAGACCTAGTGGCATGGCATCGCTTTCTGGAGGAAAGGTACCAGGAAGTAAGCAGGGAGATTGAGACAATCTCAAAGAGCATACTGGAACGCACCAGTAGTTTGCGAAAGACGGCACCCAGGGGCAGTAGAATAAAGCTAGCGGAGTCTACCAGTGAGTCTGATGAGCGTCATGAGACAGGTCATGCCCCACGCCAGATTGATTCCAGTGGGACAGAATCAATGAATTTTCGGCAACTGAGCACGGCCGATGCAAGCATTGATGGGGACATCGTCCCTAAAAATACAGCTGATGGACAAACAGAATGGACAGAAAGACTGGCGAACTCAAGCCTTTTGTCCCCTCCTACTGTGAAGAAGGAAGAAGAATGTCCAAAGACAACGCCAGAGCCAATGGACCAATTCATAACCATACCTGATTCGGTGCATGGGTTACGGAGATACAAGGTCACACTCCAGCCACCTGAGGGTTCATCGACACGGATGGTCGGATCACTAGCAATGGGTCATGTCTCCAGCGTCCGGAGAAAAGAGAATTCCATGCCAAAAGTGAGCGACGTTAACCTGTCAAACATTTTGTCTGACGGGATTGGACATGAGCAGACAAAGGCAGAGCCAGCTAAAGCCAGTGAAATTTCGTCTGCACCAGCGAAATCCGCCAAGGAGGGAAGTGATGTCTCCCCGCCAGAGCCTGGAAGTAATGATGACATGGCTAAGATTGACCCAGGATCCCCTAAAGATAAGCCAACACTGCCGAAGAAGGACGAGACGTTGGTCAAACCCGAGATCAATGACAAGCGGACTGAGAGGAACAGACCTTTGATCAAACCCGACCGATATGATGGGAAGACATCATGGCCATCCTACCTAAAGCACTTCGAGTTGTGTTCAGAGCTCAATGGATGGGATGAAAAGGACAAAATACAGTTTTTGGCTGTGTTGTTGACTGGCTCAGCACAACAGGTATTAAGTACAATGCCCAAAGATGCAACTGGAGGTTACCAGAAGTTAGTCAAAGCTTTGCAAGCACGCTTTGACCCATTGGGGAGACAGGAACTTTACCGGGCCCAGCTCCGAAATAGGAGGCAGAAACCTGCAGAAAACCTCGTAAAAATGGCTGAGGAGATTCGACGACTGGTGGAAAAAGTGTACGTGGACCTACCTGCTGAAAGCAAAGATCATATGGGCAGAGACCACTTCTTAGATGCTTTGGCGGACGGCGACATCAGGATAAGAGTTATTCAGATGAGAACAACGACACTTGACGGAGCTGTAGCAGCAGCAGTTGAGTTGGAAGCCCTTCAAAATGCTGAAAAAGAGCGAAGGACGATGGACTTGAAGAAAGCCAACGTGAGGCAGGTCACTACAGAAGAAACAATTCAGGTCATCAGTGCCAGCGAGCCAGCAGGTTGGCAGCAACAGATGAAGAACATTTCGGACCAAATATGGGAGCTTAAGAAGCAGCTCAACAGACAGAAGCCAAGTGGAGGCCGGAGGACAGACGGCAAGGGGCCCGGTGCTATCATTGCGAGGAGTATGGCCATATCAAGCGAAACTGTCCTTTGCTGACAACAAGTGATGACAGTACACCAGCGTCCTTGAACGTCCAAAAGTCCCAACCCATCGATAATCAGGGAAACTGTTAGGAGCTGAGCCAGGGGGTCGAGACTCAGCTGTAAAAACATGGCCCAATAGCGATCTACAGATAGGGAATGTAAATGCCGTCGGTAGAGGATTGTACCTTGATGCATGTGTGAATGGAGTAGATGCAGTACTTCTACTTGACACAGGGGCATCCGTGTCAATTATATCCGAGAGAGTCGTCAAGAAATGGTCAGAGAAAAGACAATGCAGCATAACCAGTACTGACGTTGAAGTGAATGTTGCAAATGACATGAGCTTGGCAGTCTCGGGAGAAGCTACAGTGGAGCTTGAGTTGGGTGGTCACCTAGTGTTTCACAAATTCATTATCGCTGACATAAGTAATGATGTGCTCCTTGGTTTGGATTTCCTACGATCGGAAAACTGCTCGATCGATATTACCAGTAATAGTCTGCAGTGGAGAGGGATAGAGTTACCTCTTAGGGACACTTCTGATCGACTCCGGAGTTGTCGAGTGACCGTTAGTGAGACGGTGGTAGTGCCAGCCCAGACAGAAATGGTAGTTGCGGGAAAATTCAGCGAAGATCAGAGAGGAGTGCCGTATGGGGTGATTGAGCCAGCTCTTAGCCTCGTCAAGCGAAATAATGTCCTGTTGGCTCCCTCACTGGTCAGTACCAAGGGGGCAACGGTACCAGTAAGACTTATGAATCCAACAGAAACTCATGTGACCATCTACAAAGGAACGACGGCAGGTACATTCCAAACAGTAGACGCAGTAGGGCCAAATCTTGGTGCAGATGACCAAGTACATTCAGAGCAAATCAATAATGTTAATTCAGTTGACGGTGATAGAGATCACGCAGACAAACATAGACCAGTTCCCCCACATTTGGACGACCTTTTTCAGAGAAGTGCAATTCGACTGAACGAGACAGAAGAGGTCCAGTTAAAGAAACTTCTGCTCAAGAACCAGGCGCTGTTCTCGAGAGGGGAAGGGGATATTGGTAAAAAACCAGTAAGGTTCAGCACCG